AAGAAGGGTAAGTTTTTATCGGTGGCCCTGGAGATGAAGCGACTGAGTGCAGCTATTCGACCATTGAGGCTTTGGACCTCCTTCGATTTCTGAGATGACCTCATTTCCAGCAAGGCCGTTATCTTTACTGGATTGGCTTCAATTCCTCTTTGTTAACAATATATCCCAAGAACTGACCCGAAGCTACCCCAAAGGTGCACTTGAGGGGATTAAACTTCATCTTATATTTTCTAAGTATTTGAAAGGTTTGGTCGAGGTGACTTACGTGTTCGCTTACCTGGAGGCTTTTGACTAGCATGTCGTCCACGTAGACATCCATGGTTCTGCCAATGAGTTCGGCGAACATCACGTTGACCAGCCTTTGATATGTGGCTTCAACATTTTTCAATCCGAAGGGCATGACTTTGTAGCAGTTGAGTCCTCTGTCTGTGATGAATGACGTAGCTTCCTCGTCAGGTCGGAACATGGGTATCTGATTGTACCCCGACTACGCATCCATGAAGCTCAATAGTTCATGTCCAGCAGTGGAATCCACAAGCTGGTCTACTCTTGAAAGTGGGAAGCTATCTTTAGGGCACACCTTATTCAAGTTGGTAAAGTCTACGCACACTCTCCACTTCCCGCTGGGCTTTTTCACCAGGATTGGGTTGGATATCCACTTCGGGTAGATGGATTCCCTTATGAAACCACTACTGCTAAGCTTGTCTACTTCGTCTTTGAGAGCTTCGTACCTTTCTAGGTTGAGGGCACGTCTTTTCTGTCGATGAGGGGCATAGGAGGAGTTGATGTTAAGATAGTGGCAACTGATCCTTGGATCTATCCCCACCATGTCTTCATGCTTCCAAGCGAAGACATCCAAGTTTCTTTTCAGAAAGCTTACCATCTCCTCTTTCGCTTCAGGGGCAGTGCCTTCCATATTCGCAAGACCTGACTAGGGTCCTCTAGGTTGATGGAGAAAGTCTCTAATTCTTCCATTGGGATTTCATTTAGTTCAGAGTCAATTATCCGGGGATCTAACACATCAAGAAGGTGTCCTTGTTCAAGAGCCTCTTCCATGTTGACGTCTTCCTTCTGTTCGGAGGTATGCCCTTGTTCAGCGGCGTCGAGCATTTCCACGTCCATACTGGCTTCATTGGCAACTTCAGTTATGATCACGTTAACAGTTCGGGGTTCCAACTTTCTCAAAAAGTTCAAGTAACATGCCCTGGAACCCATCTGGTCGCCTCGGACCGTAGCAATCCCATATTCAGTTGGGAATTTCACACACAAGTAGTGGATGGATGTGACGGCCCAAAGATCTTTTAAAGCGGGTCTGCCCAATACTCCATGATAGGCCGACCTGTGGTCTACAACTAAGAATTCCATGAAGTGTTGGGCCACTAGGGACGCTGAACCTATTTCGACGAGCAAAGTGATCCGCCCTCGTGGGACGATGATGTCTCCAGTAAATCTAAATAGTGGGTCGGTCATGGAGATCAACCCATGTTCAATTTGCATTTTGTCGAAGGTGGAGCCGAACGATATGTTCACCAAACTTCCATTGTTGACGAGCATGCGTTCGAGTCCGTTTCTAGCCACTACGGCCCTTACAACCAATGCGTCACAATGGGGATGGTGAACTCCTTCTTTACCTTCCTGGGAGAAAGTGATTAGTGCCATCTTATTGGTTGCCTATGACTCGTTGACAATGTGGGTAATCATTAGCGGGTCCTTTGCTTCCCTTGTGTAATTCCTTTGGGCATTCCTGGTGTTGTCACCGATGTGAGGTCCCCCAATGATTGTGTCGTCTCCCTGATGACTTGGCTCCCAGAGAATGGGGCCTGGTCTCTCTGTCTAGACTGTCCTCGATCTCTTGATTCCCTTCTCCGGGGTAATTGCTCTCTATGCCCTCTCTCCCCCCTGTTCGGGGAGGTGGATCCGCGAGGATATTCGCTCCTGCTGGAAGGATGTGGGTTGCCTCAATCTGAATGTCGATTAGCGTCTCGACATTCGCTAATGTCATGCCCATAGAGTTGATGGAAAGTGCAGAATCTTGCCCCTTCCAAGGGCCTGTTTGATCACTTCTTCTTCTTATTATTATTATCAGATCTTCCGGATGGTCTTGCTTCGCCAGGAGCATTCTCATATGCCAATATCGGCACGACATCCAATGTGGCGGAGGCCAGTGCCTGTCCGAAGGTGGGAGCTACTATATGACCTGCTTGAGTCCACTGCTGAGTGATGAGGTGCGCTGCGGGTCCTCGACCTACCTGCCTCTGAGGCGGAAGAAGTCCTTGCGCAGCACAGTTTCAATGATCAATCATTTCCTCACCGATGATTTCCACTCTCATCATTTCCACTAGTTCGTCATAGGTGGCAGGATTCTTGCTGCGTACGTCTTTCCAGAACAAATTGTTCATGTTGAGGCCGTCTTTCAGAGTTGAAATGGCTTCCCTGTCAGTAACCTGTTCTCAGTATGTGATTTCGTCTGTAAACCTGGCGAGATAGCTTTTCAGCGTCTCTCTAGGGGCCTGCCTCATATCTTGCAGGCGTTGCACTGGAGCCTCTCTTTCCCTGTGTGAGAGGTATTGGTTTAAGAATGTCTTCTTCAAATCTGGCTAACTCCTAATGCTCAGAGGAGGAAGTCTGCTATACCACATTTCAGCAGCTCCGGCGAGGGTTAAGTGGAAGGCTCTGCATTTCAAAGCAGGCAAGGCTCATCTGTGTCATGTATTTGGTGAGGTGCTTCTCCGGATCCCCCTTTCCTTCATACTTGGGGATCTTAAGGGGCATGAAGTTCGCCGGCATCGGGAAGCTTCAGATCTCCCTTGAAAAAGGGGGTTATCATCATCGTCATCGATCTCATAAGATCGACAGGGCCCATCTGACCCTTCATCATCTTGAATATCCTGGGCAGGTGGAGGTGCTTCTCCTCGGCTTCCCCAATCGACTAGGTTCCTTCTATCCCTTCTATTTCTAGGAGGAGGTGCCTGTTCTTGTTCCTGGTCTTTCCGAACTGATCTTTACACTGAGCGGACCCTATTACTAGGGTCCTGCCCTATTCGATCGAAGACGTTTACTGATCTTTGTTCCTCATATTCTTGAGGGAAATTGTCCCCTAGTTGTGGTTCCGCTGGCTGGCTTCCCTACATATAGGATGTGGCTTTCGCGCCCACTTCTCTTTCGAGGGGGCGTTCTCTGTGCTGGCTCATATGGCCTCGGGAACGAGATACAGGGGCTTCCTGCACTGAGTAAGATCCTTGGGACATTTGATAGCCCTGATGACCTTGGGCTTGCATGAGAAGTTCATGCATTGCCATATTCTGAGCTGCGATGTCTCTCATGCCCGCCGTTATTTGAGTCATCCTTTCAGTGAGTATGGCTGTTCTTGCACCTCGGCGACGCCGGTGATGGGGTTTCTGGTGAGTGACATTGTTATGGAGCACCTCTTCTTCAGAGGCCTCTCTCATGGGATTGTCTTCTTCATGGCTGGAACTCATTCTATCTTCTTTTTCAAGGGTGATAAGAATTTAGGATATAACTCGGCTTTGTTCATTTTTAAGAACGTGCCCTTTTCAGGGTAAGTTGCCAGTTTTTCGGTGTTTTCTCCGGTGAAGAATGTAGAACTTTGAACGGGAAGATTTCTCATAGATGGCGTCAATCTGTTGACCTCGAAAATTGGACCCTCTACGTGGCCAACCGATAGCCACTCCACATATTCCTCCCTGTGCACAATCAATGTACGGTCAGATGCACACGGTCGGGACCAGGGGGGGTGGCGGCGGTCGTATACACTCCGACGGTCAAGTTAGGCTCAGGTGATCGGAGTAATACCAAGGTTGTGCAAAATAGTGGGGAGGATAATATATATTTGCTTGCTATGAAGTGCTAAATAGGAAGAGTTTCATTACCTTTGCCTCTTGCCAAGCCTTGGGTATTTATCTGTAAGGAGAGCCTTTGGATGTGAGACACGTGTATACATTTGAACGGTATGAGGCATCTGCTCATAGGCGTCAATCAGCCGCGTATGTAGAGTGGGTGGGTAGTTACTTCTCCCGAGTTGAGTTGACATAAAGTTGATAGGTCACATCAACTAGCCTTGTGGAAAGGTCAAATCACTTTAAACCTTAGAGGCAGAAAAGATCTTGACAAAGATCTCATTCTGAAATCGGCGGCGGGTCCTCAGGCCGAGGTCCGCAGGAATCATTTCGCCTCAGATTTAGGGGGATAGGGCGCTTCGGTCAGTTTTGCAGAATTACCTATGCTTGGAACCACTTCGTATGAGCGTTCCACACCTCAGATGACGTGGTGGTGGACTTTGAACCACTTCGTATGAGCGTTTCACACCTCGGATGACGTGGTGGTGGACTTTCCGAAGTTTAACCACTTCGTATGAGAGTTCCATACCTCGCCTGATGTGGGTTCATTTAGGGGCATAACAAGACGTATAGAGCACATCTTGAGGGGGAGTATTAGAACCGTTGTATAATTTGTATAGATTTGCATGTAGTTAGCTTGTTAGTTTGTTAGTTATGCTAGCTAGATGTTAGATGTGCTAGCTATATGTTAGTTCAATTAGTTGGTGTTTAGCGCCTACTTATGCCATGTAACATGATCATTTTGAGATGATTCTGAATGAATGAGATTGAAGGTTTTCATTTCACTTTATTCTAATATATTGTTCAAAACATTCTCTAAATCCGTTTGTTCAAATGTATGGTGGTTCGTGAAGTAACGTGAGTGTACAACACTAGATAATAATAAAGAAGAAATCCTATTTATTTCATTTTTGAATCTTACCTACAGCTTTGATCATTTCTTTTTCCTGTCATAGATAAGCAACGAAAAAAAAAGGCCAAGGAAAGGAACAAGTTTTCAAGAAATCCAAACGTATCACCACCTCCACAACACATAGTTACGATCAACTAATCAATATTCAAAGAAGGTAGAAGTTGTGTAATGTGTAGAGTTGAGGAAGATTCATGTGTGACTGTATGTTGTGAGAGAGAGAGATGAATGACCTGAACAAATACAGTCTTCAAAACCCTATCAGAGAAAGCAGCGATGTTCGCACTGATGATTTTGAGGTTCAAAGATTCAAATATCTCACATAGCTTTACCATTGTATTTGTTCTCTTGCTACATGTGAGGCAAATTACGACTGTCTTCTCTCCCATTCTGGATACTCTCAACTAATTATAAATGGTAATAATTTCATCAACTAACCAAATAAATAAACAAATCAATTAATTAATCCTGATTAAGAAATAATATTAGTCCACCTCAAGAACTTCAATCGGAGATGATCTTGATCCTTCAGAATCGTAGAAGCTTTCATTTGTCAATCTCTTTGGGTTTGAAGAAAAAGTTTCGTCATGATCGAACTCAGAAATTGTACTTTTTGATGATGTTTCTGCAGATTCCAAGTCTGATATTTCTGCTTGAATTTTCCTCTCTTCTTCTTGCAACTTTTGAATATAATCAATGGCATCTTCGACTATCGATTCTTTATGCATCTGATTTTTTGAAGAAACAAGTTATATTGATCACGCCAACTCAATCAAACTACATATGTATATTCCTTCTAACAACTTAAGTTCTCAAATGAAGTGGTTCAACATATATCACATCAAAGAGAAAACTTGAGTTCAAGTTTCGTCGCCGCCCATTAAAATAGAGTTGTGCATACATAAATCTTGCTTACACTTGAGGGACATCTTGAAGGCAATATATACGTGTAATCTTCTCTAACAATTTATGATTAATTTTTCAAATAGTTAATTCAACACAAATATTCTCTAATCATTCTTTTTGTTTTTCTGGTGGAATAAGTAAAGAATGGAACATATATTTGTTATACCTTTGTAATATTGGGAACTACTGATCTTAGTGCATAGAGCTTTTCATTGACTTTCTTTCTTCTATTCCTCTCTGAAACAATGTTTCTGTTGGCCATCAATGATGACTGTGTTCCATCTTGAGAGCTTGAATCATGTGTAGGAATTTCTTCATCCAAATTACTGTTAAGATCAAATCAATCTCATTAAAGTATATATTCCACAGAAACGAACACAGGACACAGAGCGCGAACGAATTCGTGTTTGGGTTCAGGATTAAACGGAACACATGAAAACAAACATGAATGAATGTGTCAAGAGAAAATATTACCCTTGAAGATCTTCAGCTTGGAAGAACGTATTCGTTTCCCAACAGTGTGTGTATTCATCACTAATGTTCTCCATAAAGAGATGCTTTCTTGGGATGAAGATGAATAATGTGTGCAACGTGTTTGGTTTTATAGAAGGGGAATATGTGAATAATGCGTAAGCAAACAGTGAACATGACATTCCTGTTCGTGAAGTGCGTGGAATCCACCATGTGTTAATCATGTCTCAAATTTTCAACTTTCTTGATGTGGGCCGGGTAATGTTTAAGCATCTTTTATTGTACGAATTCATGCTTACGTCATTAGTTTGATATTGACGTGATAAATTAAGATATCATCGTCTTACTGAAAAGTCAACAAACTGAATACGGAACTTTAAAAAAAAAAAAAAAAAAAGCCGAAATTTTTTTTAAAAATAATAATAATAAATTAAGAGTTCGTTGGGATAGAAAAAAATAGCGAGATTATTTTCTCAAACTATGAATTTGGATTTAGATCCCTGACAGGCACTTAATTTTTCAGAGCGGAGTACGTATTCGAATTTAACAAAAGGTTTATATTATGGATCAAAAAATTATTTAAATTTGGAGCAACCAAATCATATTTTAACTCAACTAAACCAATCAAATTGTCTATTTAAAGCCATTTACATACCGGTTTAAACCATTGGAGGACGGATAAATCGCAAAACCTCTCATACATGCATACTCGAATTAATGTGATGACTACATCTTGATCATTGTCTTAAACTATCGAAACTCTTAAAATGGTGTGTAATGCTTAGTATTCTTGGTCTAATCACTATGTCACTCAAACTATGTCGCATCTTCAAAGGTTGTGAGAGCTAAATTTAAGATTTAAAATAAGTACTCCTAGAGAGTCTCAATAGTTGTAAATTTTTATTACATAGTTCACGAGTAATGAGTGTAATATTGTAAAAGGTTGTGACTCCTGAATGAATAGCCATCCAAGGTTATACATTTGGCTTCCCTCTTTGACCATGTTCTAGTCACATCAATTTCAGAAAACTTCTCCCAATTTTTTTTTCAAATTTTTTTCTTAATTATATTCCATCTCAAGAAAAATTGCACAAAGATTAACTAGTGTTGGTTGTTTTCTCATCATATATTAAATACTATCTTTGGAAAATAGTGTTGATTGTTACTATTAGAGGATAAGTTAAAATAAAACTCTTAATAAAGTTCACTATAGAGTACAAGTATCTGTAAAAGTAACAAAATATGTGAACTTTGACGTGGTGCCGCCTCATTAGAAAATTAGAGTTTTCTCTCTTTAAATACTAACTTTGGATAGTATTAATGTGATGACTACATCTTGATCATCGTCTTAAACTATCAAAACTCCAAAAATGTAGTGTGTAATGCTTAGTTCTTATCCTTGGCCTAATCACTATATATGTCGCATCTTCAAAAGTTGTGACAACTAAATTTAAGCTTTAAAATAAATACAGAGAGGTCAATAGTTGTATCTTTTTATTAGATGGACTGTTCTTGTTGAACAACCCCCTGGTTGTGTCCCCTTATTAGGGAGGCGCCTGCGCCACAAGACCCCCTGGACAACTAGGGGTTATTCAAGAGGATTATTTCTTATTACATGGTTCATATGAGTGATGAGTGTGATATTGTAAAGGATTGTGACCCCTGAACGAACGGCCATCCAAGGTTATACATTTGGCTTCCCTCTTTCGACCATATGCTAGTCACACCAATTTCAAAAAATTTCTCCCAAATTTTTATTCAAAATTTTTTCTTATATTCCATCTCAAGAAAAGTTTAATTTTTCTAATTAAGAAATTTAATTTACGATTATTATTGTCATTTAATAAATTGCTCGAATCCATCATCACTACTAGATGGAAATATATTTGTCTCAAGACAAGAACATGAAACGTTCAACTTAGATAAATGAAAGTTTTACTTTATTTATGGTTCACTCGTTATTTTGCATATGTAATTACGTCTGGTGATCTCATTATGGTGGATGGATTGCTATTTGCATGTTTTTTTAACATTAGTCTCCTCTATATATTTCGGCAACCGATTGAGTCAGCCTGTCTACACTTCAAACTCAATAATTTTCTTAGGTTCTGGACCACCTACCTCATTAGGCAATGGAATATATATCCATCAAGGTCCAATATTTGAAATATAGTGAAACAAAACGTTTATATATATATAAAAAAAAAAAAAAAGGTTAAACCCTAATCTTAAGGATCCCCCACCACCCCTGCCCTGGAGTATCGTGAGGGAGGTAAATCGCAGGTTATGCCTTCAAGAGTGTAGGGTGGAAGGCTGCTTGTACACTTGCACTTACCCAAGAGCCAAATCCATATTTCAGGATTCGAACCCTTGACGCAGCAGCCTCAAGCAAAACTGGATTTCTCCACCCTTCTCTTTTCCCACTTGGAGATGTGCCCTGGGGGCAACAAAACGTTTATATATATATGTGTATGTGTGTGTGTGTGTGTTTTCTTGAAATTTTGGGCACTTGTTTTGCACATGTTTTATTTTGAGAGCAATTGACTTAATTAATTGCGTCATTCTAATAACCTTTGTCTTAAACATTAAAAATTTTGAGTAAACATATGAAAAACTTTCTCAAGATTCTTATTCATCCACTTGAAATTTATAAATAGTTTAAAATTAAAATCATATGTATTTCAATAATTTGATAGCTTTAATGCGTAGAAATGTTTTTTCCACCTTAAATCCATCCATTATTGGGGGAAAACTTTTTCCAAGATGGGGTTCGCTCTTGAGAGGTGACCCTTATTTTGTGTATCATATAAAGATTGAAGTACATATTATTACATATTTTTAAATTTTAATATATTAAAAAGTTTCAAGATATCAAAGTAAAATTAAATTTAATGGACGATTTTATCCCAATTATTTTTAGAATATATAATAGTACCTTTTTAATTTTTGTTTAATTGGTTGACACGTAAGGATTAATTGAACTATGACATCCACATTAATTATCCTTCCATGAACTTTGAATAAGAAGATGGATGTAAAAGTTAGATATGATTCAAGTACACATACTAAATGTATTAGTGTGGTACATATATAGACATTAACTAGCATGTTTCTACAATTAAAGTAAGTTGACACATAACTTTTCTCTACCTTTTAAACATCTATTTTTCAAAAAATTACTTTTCATAAAATCTACATCAAGTAGGCCAAGAAAATGGAATAATGTAAATAATTTTTCCATAAATTAGAAGAATGTCTAAAAACACCTATAAAAAACTCGGGACTCCTAAATTAGTGGCGGAGTCAACACTTGGTAAAAGGGTGGGGCCATGCATGCTAGCTCCGTCGGAATTTTCAATAGCCATCAAGCGCCACGCCAGTCACGTTGTTGCAAAGGCCGAATAGTGGAAAATGACTGAAAATGCCAATTGGGGTTTGTTTTTTTGTTTTTTTTTTATAAGTTTCGGCCCTTTTGCCTGGGCTACTAAAATCAGGCCCAATCCATAGATGTTTTATCTTTCATTACCCAATACCTACAACAAATGGTCCAAATCACGTAATTGTAAAAGGCAAACCATGATTTGTGATTCAAGAATTTATGTTTAGGAAATTAGGATAAGTGAAAAAAATTAATGGAGAATATTTGGGGCTCAATTCAACCATGTGTTCTATATCTTTAAATCAATTTTACTTGAAAAATAAATTGGGGCATTTTGTAGATTATGGATCGATTTTTTCGATTGAAACGAAAGTTCATATTTAGTTCGTCTAGTTCTAGTGGTGCATCTAATTCTATCACTATTTCTGACTCAATTAAAGTCTCAGGCACAAAAAATAACAACCGCTAATCTTCAAGTCAAGGCAAATAGGAAAATTCTTTTTTTCAAATTCTTAGCAAATTCATATTTTAATTAAGCCCCTATTTGGTTCCCATTAAATTTCGTTACATTACATCTCATTTTTCTCTCTCTTATTTTCAACTACACAATCTTTTTTAGCCACTCATTTTTCAAAAAAATATTATTCCACCCATTTTCATTTATAGAAAATGGGGGCCAAATGGGAGCTAAGATAATATACATAAGTGCGGTGGTTAAAATTTTATTCTCCATGATATATAGATATATTATATATATATATATATATATATATATATTATGATTTCATTCAATGCCTTAAGACTCCAAGAATGATTTTATATTAAATTCTTCGAGATAAACCATCGTGTTCAATTATGTTAAATCCTTCGGGATGTGAAAATTCTAAAGAAACTTAAGCCATCCGTTGTCCCGATCAGTAGTTCTAAATCTATGAATGCTGGGTATGAATTTTTCATTTATATTTATGTTATGTTAAATATAAATGTACACATCTTACTGAGTGTTCATTTAAATACTTACTCTTACAAATTTTCAGATTATAACGGGTCGTGCTGGATGTGTGGAATATTGAACGAGCAGATGCTTATGGATTTCCTAGTAAAAAATGATTTTTAAGTACATTCATGACTAGACTTTCATTTAACATTTTCATGTTTAGTATTTGCACATTTATTTTGTAGCTTTAATATTAATATTCATTTAAATTGATGTTGAATGAATTTAATTAAATTTAAATGTGGGTTGGCTACTCTTTTAAATTCATCGGATCGAATTATCAAATTTTCTTTAAAGTTTCAAAAGTAAATTTTATTTCCACAAAAATAAGAAATTTGGTAACACTTCTTTTCTTTTCTTTTCTTTTTTTAAATTGAAAAAAAAAAATGGGCCACTACAAAACACACTCTAAATCTATACTTGGCTCGTATTTATAAATTATTTTTTATTCATGTGTTTCGAAGTATTCTCAAATACTTTTCATTTTTATATTTATTTCCTTATAATTTAATCATGTTCAAGGCAGACTTGAATACTATTCATTTATTAACTATTCATTTTATTAATTTATAATTTAGCCATTGTTTGATTCTCATTATTTTCAAATTGTATAATTAGCAAAAAAACATTCCTATTGTTTGCATTCATTGTTAAAATAGACCCTATCGTTTCAAATTTGACATTTGTACCCTCATTTCAAGCCTTTCTTATGAAAGTGGTCCTTTCCATCATGTTCCGTTAATTCTATCGTTAAATAAATGCATGAAATTCATTCACATTTTTTGAAAAGGGTAAATTAGTCAAGTCGCTATATATTTTTCCCCTCTAAAAGTTTTTGGTGAATATCATCCTTATGGTTTGATATAATTTACAAGTTTATTCTCCATCTCAAAATGTTGTCGACAAATATAATGCCTAACCCTTTAACCATTCAGCACAAATAACCATTGAGAAGCTATGTAGTAAAAGTTCTCAATATTAACTTGCTAAAATAGATACAAAATACCAAAATACCATACAAGTCACTATATATTTTGGTCTTACAGTTTTTTATTTTTTAATCCAAGGAAATAGGATAAGAGGTCAAAATTGTATTTGAAACAAAAAATAGCTTTTCCAACGACCGCAACCGCCATCATGGAGTGGGCTGTATAAAATAAAATAAATAAATATCCAAATTTGCATACATATCCAGATGGAAAAGTACAAAATAAATTAACATGACCAAAAAGGGAACTTCAAATGATCTAATATATGTTGTGATCGTTGTTTGGGTAGCAAGCCTCATCATGGAGTGGGTTGTGGGGTAAAATCGATTTATGAAAACCACTATCCACTTCAAAAATTGAAAATAAAACTTATCAGCATCGATATTGCAATTGTCGGTGTCGGGATGGCAGAGGGAAGGTGGTAGTGAAATGGGTTCAAAGGGATGTTTCTTCCTTTTGGAAGATTTTGGAAAAGTGAGGTTTGGTGTGGTTTATTCAATTTGGGAATTTTGTTGGCCATGGTATAACTCTATGCAAACTACAAGAACTTTTCCCCTCAAAAAATATATTAACTTGACTAATTTACCCTTTCCAAATAATGTGAGTGCATTTCATGCATTTATTTAACGGTGAAATTAATGGAACGTGACAGAAAGGACCAATTTCGCAAGAAAAGTTTGAAATAAGAGTGCAAATGTCAAATTTAAAACGATAGGTTTAGCAATGAATGTAAACGATATGGACGTTTTTTTGCTAATTACTCTTTTCAAAATATATTTTTATCTCTCTTATTTTTTTAATTACATATATACTTTAATTTTTAAAAAAATTCTTAATTTTTAACCATAATTTTTTATTAATCTATTATTTCAAAATGTATTTTTAGCAAAAAAAAGCTCAAGGAGGCGATTAATTTGTTTATACTTTATAGAGTCTTTCCGAAGGCAAGTCACCATCCATTTAATTTGCCTCAAAGGAACGTTTGGTTGCAGGCACACATATTGAACATAACGTCCCACAGCCCAAATTTTAAAAGGGTAGTTCCTTGGACGAGAAAAGTAAAAAGAAAGCTACGAGGCGAATGGCGACGGAGGTGGACAGCGGCGGTGGCGGAACCATATCCGAACTGTATTCCAGCTCGAAGAGGCTGTTGCTGAAGACCAGAGATGCATTGGAGAGACTGGAGCGTCTCGAATACACGTCATCTTCTTCCTCTTCTTCATTTTCATCATCCAATGCCTTCGTTTCGGGTGCTTCAGATGACCAGTCCACTGCAATTAGACGAGATATTATTCAGATCCAGTCCCTCTGCTCTGACATGGATCGCCTATGGCGTTCAATCGCCGCCAGGTCCCAACGAGATCTCTGGAAAAGGTACGTTTGTCGTTTTATCATATTTTGAGCTCTGGTAGTATGACTTGATTGGAATTTTTGACTGCGTTGATGAGTACGAGGTCTCAATTTGATTTTTTTATTTTTTTTTGGAAATTCTGTTATTTCTGTGTGGCTGTTTGTTTTTCATTTGATTGATTAGGGTTTCAAAATGTTGGGAAAATTTTTAAAGCAGCGTAATCTACAATGTTAAAGGGTTTAAATCGAAATTATGTTGTTCAACAGAAAATGCACATAATCTGATCGCTAACCCAACGTGTTCTATGCAATATGTATTTTTTTGTATGTATGTACTCTGGTTGTATGACTCAATTGGAATTTTGATTGCATCGATAAGTATGGATATAGGTCTTAATTTGATTCTGTGACTCTTCATTTTATTTGTTTGATTATGATTTCGAATTCTTGGGAAAGGTGTTAAGGAACCAAGCTGAAATTATGATGTTTAATTAGAAACTTTGAGGATTGACTTTGTTTCCCATGATACCATCAAGATGCTTAAATGTATGTACTCTACTTATATGACTCGATAGGAATTTTTTTTGATTGCATTGGTAAGTATTAATTTTAAGTTGACTATAGTTTCAAAGTTTTGGGAAAGGGTTAGAGAATCGAATGATCCTTAATGTTACACGTGTTAAATTGAAAATACATGTAGTTTTTATTTTATAAACAAATATGATCCTGTTTGAAAATTTTGAAAATTGACTTTGTTTGCTGCTGATATTTTCAAGGTGGTTGGAAAGAATGCAAAGTGGATTAAAAAAACTTCGTACAAATTCAATTTAGGATGACTGCAATTTTGTGGGTCATATGTATGAATTAGTAAGTTTTAATGTATTTGCATATTGAGAGAAGGGTGGATTTTCCATGGGAATATCCAAGCCATTATGTGCTTGCAAATTCCATGCAAGACCGGCAGTTATTTGGTATTTTCTTTGTGCAGTGCCAATGCCTGGATACATGAGGGCGGAGGTAGAAACGAATTACTATGCGGGTGTGACTTAATAAACATGATTCACGAGTATTGGATACTTAACATTTAGAAAAACACAGTCAAACCCACTTGGTTTGTTGGTGAGTGCTTACCTCGTGATAAAGAGAATCATTTGTAAGTTGGCATGTTCCACATTGACTACTAGCTTCTTCACATTCATATCATAATGATACAAAGTTTTTCATTAGTGAGAGAGAGAGATGTCCCCCACTTGATAGTGCTACTTTTATGTCATATTCAATATTATGAATTTCTGGTTAACATTTTTTTTTTTTTTTTTCCAAATGAGAGAAATGTCCTTTCTGTTTAACAAGGAAGATTAAAATTAGACAGTTATTTTGTCCTTTATCTTTTGATGAAAGAGATTGGTGTTAATGCATAATTCTTTTTTTTGTCGTGCAGAAAAGTGGAACAAGTGGCTGAGGAAGCCGACTCACTGAAAGCAAGTCTGGATAAATATGTTTTGAGGCATCAGAAGCGGACGCAAGAAGCCCAAGAGAGGGCAGAACTACTCGGAAGAGCTGTATGAATTCTTTCTGTCTGAATTGCTGAATTGTCCATGTTGCTCTTCTTAGATTACACAACTTATCTGTTTAAGGATTTTACTTTTATGTTTTAGAATGGGGAATCCTCTCATGTTTTGAGAATATTTGATGAGGAAGCCCAAGCAATGCAGTCAGTTCGTAGCTCGTCCAGAATGCTAGAAGAAACTTATGCGACTGGTGTGGCCATTCTTTCAAAGTATAGTGAACAAAGGGATCGCTTGAAGGTATTCTTTTAAAGCACCTACCACATGGAAACATACAGATTTATCATGCATGCAGGCCTAAATGCTTGTGCATATAGGTATACACAAAATAGAGTATCAAAACACATGCATAATTGGAAGTCTTTGGATTTGATTGTTAGATGTTACTGGCACACACCTTTATAAGAATGACATTTGCGGTCTAAGAATTATGCAACTTTGTTGAAGATCTGTGGACAAAGTAAACCGTAATAGTTGAATATATACATTTTAAGAACTCGATGCGAATGATTATACTGATATGATTTAAAACTTTCTTGTGTATGCGTGTGATTTATTGATCACTATGATAAGTAATATTATAAAAGAGTTGAATATTACATATCAATGCGGTAGGGCAAACGCTACAGGAAAAATTCATTGGAATTAGTTAGCGGTCATACTAACTTGATAGGAGATACTAGGGGTGTAAGCGGTCCGATTTTACAGGTTTTTGACAGATTTTCAAACCAAACTGTTTAAAACGGTTTGAGAAAAACTCAAATCTAAATCTAGCAGTTTGGTCTAGTTTTAAACCGCCGGTTTCGCCATAGAATTTTTTGCCTGTCTACTTTTATATCATTAATTCATTGAATTTAATATATATTTATATCTCACTAGTAATAAATCTAAAACAAACTAAGCCCTTATTTGAACCAAATTTTTGGGACAAAAAAATGAAATTTTGGACCGTTATTCCACAAGTCCAGCCGCCTTTGTTAACCTGCTATTTCATGTGTGGGGCCCAACCTCTTCACCAATAGTCAATTTTCTCATTATGATGATATGAAAAATATGGCTCAAATAGGAGCTAAATATATTTATTATAAATTTAAATATCAACTAAATCAAAGTGAAATCACAATAAACTAAAACATAGTTTTTTTTTTTTTTTTAAATTTTTATTTACCTTTTTTAGGCTAATGACGATACAATAACGTTACAATACAAGTTTACTAAATTAGATATAAGGTCCAAAAAATATAATAATGTCCAACAGGACCTCGTGATCATCATATCTGAGAAAATAGATACTAATTAAACAAAGAAAATAACCAACCACAATAATAAAGCAATTTTTTATAATATCTAAACATAACAATTACACAAATTTACGTTTGTATGATGTTACGAAACACATTTAATTTCAGATTCTTACCTTAGTTTGCTCCAAAAAATTATTGATCTGAAACTTTATTTGTAGCAAATATTATCAC